TATCTTGCCATGGGCCTGGTCAGTTGCCTGCTGTGTGGAGCCGCAGGATCCCTCTGCCTCCCCTCCCTCCTCCCTCCTCCCTCCTCATGATACTGTTTGGTTTTGCAGGAGGTGGTCCCCGCATCTGGAGGCCCTGCTGGTCCAGAGGCCACCCAGTTCCCAGGAAGCACTATCAACCTGCAGGACCTGCAGTGATGGCAGCCCCGGCCTGGGCAGGCCCAAGGCCATGATCAGGGACACACCTTCCCTGAGACTCAGATGGCATGGGCCTGGGGAGACCCCACTTGGTTTCTGTTCAGAAGGCCAGCGTAGCCCTCTTGAGACTTTGGGTACATTTATCAAAAATGTTTTCCATTTGTTTTACCAGGAATGAGTTTGGGCTGTATTCTTTGAAATTGCCTTTGTGAGCAAAGTGCTTTGGCGAGGCAAGGATCTCCCTCAGCAGGGCTGGGTGCACTACAGCCCCACTCCCCGTGTCCCATCGGATCTGAGCTGTGTAGCACTTGTTGCATTACAAAGAAAAAGGCTCCTGCAGGAAATAGGGTAGAGAACAGACTCTCTAGTCAGATGTAACTTGAACTATGGCAAAACCAAGTGAGGTGTTTCAGCTTCAGTGTGTGAGCATCCCAGCACCAGGGATGGGATTTTGCCACACTGTAGGACCCAGGTGGTCCCATTGCCACAGTGAAGCCAAATTCTAGCCCAAGTCTGGCAGAGCAGTCAGGCAGCTAGTTTTGGGAGAAGAATGATGGGGTGGGACAGGGGACCTCAGTGACCTATTACGGAGCCCTCTTCCCAGACTAAATTCATAACTGAGAGGGGGTGGTAGAGTTAAAATTTAAAATAATTTTCTCAATTCTCTATTTGGGTATTCATGTTAAAATGGTAATTTGACAACAGTTTATAAAGCGATGTTCTGAATACCATAGATTATGTGTAGGACTGTGATGATTGGTGTATGTATTTTATTGTTGAGGGTAATATGCGCATGTCAGTGTATATATATATTTTTGTCAGTGTGTATTACAGAGTAAGATCTGTCTTGCAAAAGGAGACAAGCTGATCACCTTGCCCATGTTTATTGTAAGTTAACAGACTAGACACAGGGTCACTCCTATTTTTTT